TATTCGATCTTTCACCGACGTATTTGGTGAATGCTGACATTCTCCGGTGAAAGTCGACATTCTCCAATTTCGGTCTTTCACGGTAACACATATACGATGATGGGCAAATAGTATTTCTCAACGTTTATTGTAACTTGTTTTCAGAAGAAAGAACGGAACCAAGTTAATCTGTCGTAATCACAATGAGGGAGGATAATGTTGTAATATTTATCCTAAGTTATTAACAGTCTTGAATTAAAGCTACTTTCCTGTCTCCTAATTTCAGCTTACAATTTTCTGCCAGAGCGTATTTTTAGAATCGCGGTTAATGTAAATGTCGAAGAGCGGTACTTAACCCTTTGCGGCACAGCGTGTTTGGTCTGGACACACCTAAAACTTTCCTACTGTACGCACAGAAAAATTGAATGAAAAAGGATTTATAGGTTCAGCGGACTGTGCCTGGGCAACGTGGACGACTAACACACTCAAAAACAGAATAGTCCTTGATAAAATAGAGAAAATCTCAGGACACTGCCTAAGCAGAAACAACCGTGGATAATATTATAATGTTTGAAAAGTTCAGAACTTAAAGCAGATAACCAGAATAACGCTTAGTGCCTTGCAGTTAACAATATGTAAAAACTGTTATTAGTTTATAATATTCAACCTTGTTACTCTGGAGTCTTCCCCGCCGTGATGGTATATAATTCCGTTTGGTTTATGTCCGTGGTCGGAAGCCATCATAGCGGTGCACTCACTCACTCACTCACTCACTATAGGTTACTCTGAATCTTCTTTATTTTATAGTAGATGGCAGCTCAACGCAAACCAGTCCATATATTTTAACCATGTTTAGTTTTTTAAGACACTCATTTTTCAAAGAAATCTTCCAGGTTATTTTAGGGTATAAAAGGAATTGTTTGAAAAGAAATTTCTATGTAATTGTTTTGGCTAGCCTCCTTATTATATATTAGTTTTAAATTTTTACCTTGAAATCTTGCCTAAAATCAAACAGCGAACCCTAGGTGTGCCCAGACCGGGCTCACCGATTATCTAGGAAAACTGAGAGTCTGTATTCTTTGTTTCTCTGCATCTCGTCGGTCAGTTCATTGACAACAATGCTCGTTTCAGCACTCTTTACGAAGCTCTATTCAATCAGTCACAGAATTAAAACGATAAGTGCTGTCTTCACACAATTTTAATTGTGTACTCCTCTAGGCCTAATTAGACTGCCTACCTTTTTTTAAAATCAAAATTGCGACTTTAAAGGTAGCGTGCCGAGAAGGGTTTAGTGGAAGCTCCACTGACTTCGTTAGAGAGCCACAGATTCTGGCTAGCACGAGTGTGGACAAATAGAGTGTGGGCAAATAGCTTTTGCCATTTGTCCACACTCTCTCTAAGCTATTACTATGCTCGGTCGTATTTCAGGCCCTTGATAGTTTTCCCAGTTAGTTAACATTTAGGGGACCACTACTTAGAATTTTGATAGCTTCGGCTATAGCTTTTGAGTTACGCATTAGTTAAATTTGATTTCTTAGTACTCTTGAGTTCAAACCCAAGTGGATTTTCTATACGCTCTAAGACAGTAGCCGACTGTAAATTCTTATGTTGAGAAATAAAGGGTAATTAACCCTTCTTGAGTTTACGCTTCTATTTCCTGAGCTAAAGAGATTATTCGCTTACCAGTTCTCGAGGAATTACATTGTAGGTTTGGAACCGTACAATGTAATACCTCGAAGTTTAATAAATAGGACCGACAAGACATGCGTAAGTCCGATTCCCTTAAATCGAGGCGTAACTTTATCTTTGGCCTTATTTTAGTTAAATAAGGCCAGGGGAAAAACACCTCTATAGAAGAAAAAGTTTGTTATAAAAAATATTGTTTTTGTTGTGTCTAATCTCGCTTGTCTGATATCAGAGCCACGAAATTCGTCGTGGTAAGCAAACAAAATTGCGCCATTATTTCTCACTGCTAGTGTATTAATCGAATTTAATTTTCCTATTATGGCTAATAAATGGATTTAGCCGATGGACATGTTTCGCTTCTCAGTTAATACTCTGAAATCTATGAACAAAACCGCCGACTTTAGTTTTGTTCAACTTTTTGTTTATTTCATTAGTGCAATGATCATCAAACCTTTTTGAATCACGGAACCTTCAAAAGTATAAAGCGTTTTCGAAAAACTCCATCCCACCCTTAGAAAAATATATCTTAAAAAAATAATTAAAGTAGATGCACATAGTATGCACTTTATGTAAAGAAAATTAAAGAATATCCTATTTTTTTAAAAATTTTAACATGAAATTAATGTAATTTAATCATTAAAAGCATGTGTGTAATTTACTCATTGAAATCATGTGCCAAGTGTCACCTACCCTTGCATTAAACAGGGTGGTTATAATTAAAGTTCTACTTTGCAATGGTCATAACAGGAAAACTACTGGACCAAATGTTATCAAACTTAGTAATCGTGTAAAGGAGGTCATGGGATTTTATTCTCCGCGAAAAAAAAATTTAAAAAAACTCACCATCGGATGGGGGGGGGGAATGGCGCTGTATGCATTATTGTTAAACGAAGTAAGAGTCGGAATCTAACTTAACCTTTTGTTACACGGTTTAAAATCTTGTATACCCTTAAGGGGACTCGTACACTTTAAAACCCATAAGATCTTCGAATATGAGACTATTGCAAGAATTGGGATAACTTACTTATTTTAAAAGCAATAACTTCCAACTTTTTACAGCTGACTGCATAATATAGCTGCCATCTGAAATAGTAATCAGAAAGTTTGTGTTGCCAGAAATATTTTTATATAATATAATTCGCTTTGTCACAAAATTTTTCATCATGTTTCCACCTTGCGCGCACAGTTCAAAACATTCTTTTGCATAATTCAATTCCATATTAAATATATAGCTTTTATAACATTTGGAAACTACTGTGAACCAAAAGTTCTAAGAATTTAATGTTAAATTTTTATTTTATTTGGATTTGAGTTTATAAAATGTATTTTATATTAAAAAAATCTGTAATGTTTTCATGCATAAAATTTTTTAATATTAAAATATTAATCAGATTTTGGGTTCGGTTAGAAAATAGTGCTTATATAAAGAATTCCATCTAATTTCAAGTATGTACCATTAGCCATTTTTTAAAATATCATGCGCGTAAGGTGGAAACATGACGAGAAATTTTGTCACATAGCGGATTTAATTACAAAAATATTTGTGGCAACACAAACTTTCTGGTTACTAGTTCCCAAAGCAGCTATATTATGTAGTCAGCTGTAAAATGTTGGATTTAATTGCTTTTAAAAGAAATAAAATATCCCAATTATTGCAACAGTCACATATTCATAACTGGTTTATGGTGTATGAGCCTTCTTAAGAAACGTTAACTTGAACAAAGTTACCATTTAAAGGCGTTAAAGACGATAAAAGTCGAGTGCGCCATCAGTGTAGTAAAAAAATCCGTTGGGAAAACCACAAATTAGCGATTAGGAAAATGTGGGAAACACTTGCATTGTACAATGAATACAATACAAGTGTGCGTATTTCGGAAATTGTTTTCTTACAGATAGCTAATTAGTGATTTTTGAAGCCTGAATTCGGCCTATTATCCGGCGATGAATATCGGCCGGTTAAACCCATTCCACAGTCAGAAATCTGACAACATCTCGCTGCTCCTCAGTTGTCGAATTTTGCATTGTGAATGCCATGATGTCATCACACACGCATTGCCACATCTATTGGACTGAACACACAACTGCTTACGTCACTCCGGCGTCACGTGCGGGCGCTTGCGCATGGGCGTAATCATGTCGGATACTGCATTCACGTCTTTAGATGTCTCGCTACGTTGTGCCAAAGCGGCATGTTCAAACTTCAACCGGTTTGGTTGTTACGACCTTTCGTACTTTTTCATTCGAACAGCCTCCCCCCCCTTAAGGAAAAAGCTGAGTATTATGGTTATGAGCCACTGACTAGGCTTCCGAACTAAGGTAAAACCGAACGGAATGATGCCTGATCAGTGGAAAGAAACAACAAGCAGCCACCACAAGAAGGCAATGGCTGAAAGACCAAGTGATATTAATTGCTCTTAATCAGGAATGTCACAGAAAAGTACGTTACAAAAATGATTACAGGACATCTTGCATAAGTTGCTACATATGACAATAAGCAAAACGTAAATGTATACTATTATAGTACAATAATATAGTGCATTTAGTTATAAGATACACGAATACCTAGTTTAATGGTATTCCATTGTATAATGCTTTAATATTATGAGATAGAGCTATGATAAAGTACGAATAATACTATAAGTTAAATGCGACTAAATGTGAAATGTGACACATTAAATTTATGTTGTTTGACATAATGACTGTAGTAATGCAAAGCATTTTATAACACATAAACAGTTATTTAAGAATGATGTAAATAGGTGATATATGAGTGAACTAAAATACTATAATACGGTGCGTTAGGTGGTTACATTAGTTGTTTTAAAACAGTGCCCCACTTATTCTACACATACCTTACAAACATTTCAGCAAATAAAGCTTTACATGAATTCAATGAAACAGTTATACTAGATGTAAACTGACAGATATGATAATAATTTAAAAATATACTTGACGCAGGAATTCAATAACAATAAGCAAAGTATTATAACAATTAAATCAATACCTGATGTGTTTATGATATAAACTAAAAAAATAATAATAAATAAAAAAAAAGGATACTGAAAGTAAATTTATAGTAACTCGGTGTAAATATTGCAAAGTAGTAAAAAAAAAAGGGGGGGAAAGGATGCGCATTTAATTTTGGAAAAAAAGAAGCATACATGAAAGTATATAAAAGAAGTAATAGTACTTTTTCTTAAGTACAAGGAGGATTTTCAATATAAATTATGTTTTTATGATATGTCGGTGAAACGAATTATTGGATAATTAAAATTTCAATAATCGTCATTCTAATGTTATTAACAATATAAAATTCACAGAATAAAAAGTCAGAATCAAGTAATACATCAATTTATTTTGAAACATTTAAGATCTTCACAAGACCAGAAGCTTTTATATACACAGATCCAATGGTATAATTACATTTTCAATGCAAGAAAGTCACTTATTTCTCGAAAGAAGATCAGAAGAGAAGGCATATACAAATATGAGCAACAAAATCGATGTGCACCAAGATATGACGAAAACCAATTCCCGTTACACGTATTGCACGAAATGATGATGCAGAAGATATGCAGAATATGCTGCAATGATGAATAACGATTTCTCGAAGGTAGCGGAAGTTGAAGGAGACAGTTCATCTATTTTTGTAATAGCTAAAAGGAAATAAAACATGATATGTGAGCTATACATTTTTGCATGCCATACTCACAATTAATGTATTGTTTAACATAAGACTGCTTTTTGATTCAATATGGAAAATTGTAAATAACTGTCGGAAAAATACTTCACTGGTAATCCCAAAATAATAATTTTTAAACAGAGAAGGTACACGCTGCACAAAAAATATGGGACAGTTTTGTATCTCCCGTTACGAATTGACGAAATTTAACTTGCTTTTTTCATATCTCGAAAGCGCCACTTAGGATATATATTAGATTTACATACAGGATGTCCAATAAAACTTTTGGGGAAGGCAGGGCACATCATAAGGATTAAGAATTGCATAGGAACCCATGCCTAGAAGCGTCATTGTACTTCGCCAGGGGTACTGTAGAGGAGAGTGGTAATGGAAGGTGAGGATTGCCTCATTCGAGCGGTAGGCACCACACGAAGAGTATGGAAAGCTATACGAACGGAGAGCTTGCAGCCATGCACTCAGTGTACGGCATAATAAGGTATATTGGACGACTGCTGCACGCACTTATCACCACAGTTTATTTGCACTTATGCATCAAAATTTGTGCGACTATGGGTTATTAAGAAGTAGCAGGAAAATTGAGGTCAGTCCTCAATCGACCTGCTCGGTTGCTAGGGAAGAAAGTATGTTGGATACGGCGCAGAGTAATCCAAGGACCAGCATACGTGCTATTGCGTCTCAATTAAGAATGCCTTGTACCAATGGCCAGAGTGTCGTGAAAGCCGAGTCTTTCTACGCCTTTCGTCTCCAAAGGGTTCAGTTACTGCTCCTCGATGACCATCCTGAACGTGTACTTTTCTCACAGTGTTTCCTGCAATAAAGTGCCTGTGATGTTAATTTCCCAGCGTATTTACGGATGAGACCATATGCAATAGAAACGCCGTATTCAATCACCACCAGCAGTATTTGTGGGCTCAAGAAAACCTCCATGGCACCACCCGGCACAGCAGCACTTCAAAGTTAATTTGTGGGCGGGGTTTGGTCGGTGACTAATTAGTCGGACCATAACTTTTACCATCCAGGTTGAATGCCGCGAATTATATACTCTTTCTGGAGCAGGTTCTTCCCGGCTTGCTTGACGACGTTCCACCAACTGTGAGACGCGCAACATGTGGTTCCAACATGACGGGGTGTCTGCTGATTTTGGAGTGCATGTCCGTAGCCATCTGAACAGATCATTCCCGCATAGATGGACTAGGCGTGGTGGACCGGTTCCCTGATCGCCACGCTCACCGGATTTATCTTGCCTTGATTTCGTTTTGTGGAAAGCCATCAAAAGTGTCATGCATTACGATCCTGCTGTGTTTGAAATGGATCTCGCGGCAAGACCCGCCTGCGCAGCTGCTACAATCAAAGAAACTCCCTGTGTGTTTGAAAACGTCAGGCACTCAGTGGTCCATCTATCTCAGGCATGTTTGGAGTGTGATGGTGCAAACTGCAAGTATATGCTGTAACATTTAAGCTGTCATACACCATTCGTATTCATGTCCAGTTAATTACTCTCATGTTTCCTTTCCCATCTTCTCCCTCTGCTACCACTTACACCTTGCATTTTCGGGCATGGGTTCCTAAGCAATTCTTAATCCTTATAATGTGTCCTACCTTCCCCAGAAGTTTGTCACAACATTTACGGGATACCCTTTATAGCACTGTTCTAACATAGGTATTTCGACTTAAAATCGGACTTTATGAAATACCAGTTTTTTCTATATTTCGATTCTACGATTCAAATTATGCCAAAGTGCAAAGATTTGTCAAAATATTGTAATAGTAGTCAAAATCTTGAGTAGGTTTAAAAAAAATTAGCTGTCTAAATTTTAGCTCCTCACTTTTAATTGAATTTGGTATATATTTATGTATCTCTCTTTTTTTATTCAACTTATTCGATTCTTCCTTGCACATTTTGAAATTTAGGTTTATTCCAAATAAAATTCTATCATTTTCTATGGTTTATTTTTAAAATTTGTATTTTAAAATAATTTTTATAAATTTTTTGAAAAACATTTTGAATTACAATCTATAAAAGTTTTATAATTTTCTTAAAAGATGTTTTAGGTGATCTTAGATGTTTTCAAAGCATACCTGCAAAAATTAGAGTTTTTGATTCAAAATGTGGCAACGATTAGATACTTCTTCGAATGATATAAATTGTGTGCATTTTAAGTTATAATATGAACGATATGTAACGCTGTTAAGTGAATCTAGCTCCAGAATGACGCTATGGTAAACAAATATAGTGAATTTTAAAAGAGTGCATTTATTTTGTTATATTTTGTGCGCTATCGACAAAGTAGATTCAATTCAATCCAATAAGTTTAGATGAAATTCAAGAAAAATTGCGTATTATTTAATATTCCGTACAAGGAAGTCATGTGGTGCACACATAAGGTTCTTTTCTTTTGCTTATAATACAGAAAAGTTTTAAAGGAAAATCGTACATAATTGAATTTATAAAGACACAGTAGATAAATCATTAAAATGTAGTTAGGTTTAATTAAAATTTTTCTTTCTTCTAAAAATTTCACACACGCTCATAAACATGTTATTAGGGAATATATTTTACCTGTATGTTGAATATTTGCTTTCATTTGCTGTCGCTCTGTTTCTTGCCTGGGTTCTTTTCTCTCTATTAAACAAATGCAGACAATTATTAAGGGCTGGAAAAAAGGAACAAATAACGATTATTTTGCAATGCGCTATTTATTGCTAGTACATGAACTCATTTATTGCTGTACACTGTCAGTAATGCCAGAAAAGGCATCCAAAACTAATCCAAAATCACGTTTATTTCGAGGGTTGTTAAAAAAATACAGAAAAGATAAATAATTAGCAGAAAAATATAATAAATGACAGAAAAGTAATGTTTATTTATATGTAATTTATAAGAATATCATATAAAGAAAAATTTCATTTGGTTACGTAATTTAAATCAACATTCGAAACGAAAGAACGTCTGATTTCGAAACAAAAAGAATATTTTGGTTTGTGTTCATGTGGCAACGATTAGATAATTCTTAAGATCACATAAATTTTGTGCATTCTGAGTTAAAAAATGAACGAAATGTTAAGTGAACCTGAGACCAGAGTGTCGCTATACTAAACAAATATATTGATTTTTAAAGAGTGCATTTATTATATTTGTGGTTTATGCGCTGTCGGCGAAGTAGATTTAAATCAAACCAATATGTTTAAAGGAAATGCAAGAAAAAAATGGGTATAATTTAATATTCAGTACGAGAAAGTCATGTTGTTCACACATCAGATTTTTACATCCTTGTACGAAGTAAAAAGGAAGTATTGTAATCGCGAAAAGCTTCAGGCAGCATATTTCAACTAAAATATCCACTTTGACCGCTCTCGAATGCAATTTAACGATGTTTTTGCGTGATATCTATACGTAAGGACAGAATAAAAGACTCTTTTCCTCCAAAAAAACTAAAAAACTGCTTTAAAATGAATTCCGAAGAGAATTTTTCGTGGTGTCTGTACGAACGTATGTACGTATCTCGCATAACTCAAAAACGAGTAGCCTCAGAACGTTGAGATTTTGTATACAAGACTACTATAACATGTAGATGTGCCCCTCGTATTTTGGTTTCAATCGGCCGAACGAAACGAATATATATATATATCCACTCTGATACCCGGTTCACTGATCCCAGTTTCTTTACTCTCATATGTTTGTAAATTGTACATTTTTTGCCTGAAAAATTATTGAATTATGTTGTTCTTATCTTCCGGTTAAGGGTTTTATGCCTTTAGTAAATGTGTATGCAATATTTTAGAACTATCAACAATTTTAAAGTTGTCTAAGTGCCGCTAAGCCTTTTTTTTATGGCGGCCATTGATGTTTACATTTGAAACAGGAGACTAGTGGATTTGTTGCCAATCTAGAGAAACTTACCTTCGCAACAACAAAGATAACGCATTCATTTATTATTGCAATTAAATCAAGCTTAATGCTTTCTGGAATTTTTTCGAGGAAATAAGCGTTTGAGATTTACTTCGTAATTTTTAATATAGTTATTTTGAGTTTTTATGTAATTTTTCCTTCTCGCGAAGTGAGAACTGAATTAATTAAATGAAAAATACTCAATCGTCTGTGAAAAACTGTTTCTGTTTTGTTTTGTTTGCTTAATTTCTTTTATACATAGTTCTAGCTTTATTACAGTATTTGAATAGAACATGTGGCAACGATTAGATAATTTTTTAAATGATATAAATTTTGTGCCTTCTGAGTTATAATATGAACGAAATATAATACTGTTAAGTAAACCTGGCGCCAGAGTGTCGCTATGGTAAACTAAGTGAATTTTAAAGAATGCATTTATTCTATTGTGGTTTATGCTCTGTCGGCGAAGTAGGTTTAATTCAATTGAATAAGTTTAAATGAAATGCAAGAAAAAATGCGTATAATTTAATATTCCGTACAAGGAAGTTATGGGGTGTACACATCAGATTTTTTTTTAGAAACATATTACAAAGTACTTTTGTGAAGTAGAAATGTACAGGAATTATTATTGAATTTTTAAGACAATTTACTCCAGCCTGGTCCAAATAATACACACATAATATACACATAATATAACATACACACATATACTTAATATATAACCCTTTTTTCATTTATGTGTTATGAAAATTCATGTAGATCCTACGTACCAAGTTTAATGTTGTCTGCCACTGGCCGTATTTCTTCGCTTGTAATTTCATCCTGTTTTAGTTTTGTTTCTAAAATATGAAACATTAGCTGTGATGAATAAATACACAAAAACACTTCGCGATTGCAATAACAAGAACATACAGAGAAGCTAAAAATTTGAAATACTGGCATTAGATTTCTCTTGACTGCATTTGAAATATTGTATTAGATTTTTCTCATTTAAAAAACTTTTGAATTTACTGAATGAAATCTGTTAATAGATGTGTAAGATAACTTTGGATATTACGGATTACATAAATTTCAATAGAAATATTTATAACTTGAAAATGTTTTAAAAATTTCTTTGAAATCTGGTTTGAATTCCTGTACTAGTTAAATTCTTTTTCGTTTATTGAAGAAATCAAATAACAACATTATTATTAACCAAGAAGTTAAAAATTTCTCATCTCATCACATCATCTCGTACATCCTCGGTGCCCACCAGCGGCCGAGCGGTAAAAGTCGCTGAACACTGGTAGTTCGGTCTGAGGTTCAAATCCTGCGAACGGGCTGGCTGCATGGGCGTTTTCGTGGTTTTCCCCATGTGTAACGTGTATACGAGCCAGTTTCCCTTAGAAAGTCCTCCACGAAGGCATCCCTTCCCTTAGGCAGATAGCTCTCGAAGCTTTGCCATAATCACACACACAAGCATACACCCTCGTTTTAGGAGATTATAAGAATTTTGAAGTCTCATTCCTTTCTTTTCGTAGATTAGCTACAAAATTGGGGGTATTTTACAGAAATTTAACTTTCGGGTAGTTTTTCTCCTCTCAGTCAAATTCCCAGATCCATACTTAAGGAATCCATTCCGGATATGGATTCCTGGGGCATTCACAGAATTCCTTGTTGGTGTTGTTTAATTTACACTGGTCAAACCAAGAGAGCCTTAAAATAGCTCGTTAAAAGGCATGAGGTATATGTTAAGAAAAAGCAAACACAGAAATCCCTTGTCGCCCAGCATTGTAGGTCTGAAAATCACACTTTGTATTTTGATGCAGCCAAACGTATTTAAGAAACATCTTCCATTGGTGAATCAAATTTTTTAGAGGCATTTCACATTCAGAAAAATCTTTCTGTTCTAGTTAATTCCAAATCATCTTTGTCTTCAGCCTTTAAGGAAATTATGTTTTAGTTTTGCTTCATCAGCAGATGGCGCGAGTAGCTAAACTTCTGTAATGAGTAGCTTAACTTATGTAGCCAGTAGCTCTATTCTTATCTTATCACCATTATCTTGTCTCGTTCATTTGCACTTAGGCTGGTGAGGAAGATGGTTGTGTAGTTAAACCATCGGAAATAGTCCTGCAAAATTTACAAATATTGAGCTGATTCGTGTTGTTTGACTTCTCCAAAAATCATTATTTAGCGTATTATTTTAAACCTAAATTAAAGGAGCTCTTTTTCGGTTGTCACTGACTGAACAATATTAGTTTTAAAGCAATTAATTTTAATACATTTCCTTAAGTTTATATAAATCGTAAAATCATTCTTTTTGCCATGTGTTTATTAAAATTAAAGATAAAGGCAAAGTTTACTTTATTTGTTTATCTTTCTTTAGCGGTAAAAATAGCAGAAAGTGGTATAAGGTATTTCTCCCGCTTTCCTAGCCTGCCTTCGTAGTGTAGTGATTCTGCACCCTGGGCCGGTATTCCAGAGGTCCATGGTTCGATTCTCGGTGAAGGCGATTGCTCATTTTTCATCTTACCTGCTTCCAAAAAATATCTAATGTCTCTACAGTGGCGCCCGAACTAAAAGGGTGTTGGATGATGATTCTCCGCACCCCAGGATTTGGCGAATGGGTCTCCTAAAAACTCCAGTCACCCTTTAAAAGCGGGGAGTATATAAGGTATTTCTCCCGCCTTCTTAGAGTTCCTCCGTGGTGTAGTGTGGTGTAGTGGTTCTGCACGCTGGGTGCGTATTCCACATGTCCGTGGTTCGATTCCCGGGGAAGGCGATTGCTAATTTTTTTAGCTCTCTGGCTTCCAAAAAATACCTAATGTCTCTACAGTGGAATTCGAAGAGTAGTTGTCTCACTCTTTATATTTGATAAGTTATAGTAAACATTTCTCAATCTCCCTTTTTTTATAATTAGCTTTCAATTATATAATAATACTTTACTTAAAAAATTATGCTTTAAATTTTTTTTTTCTGTTTTGATGATAACGAATCATTCTGGAACATCAATCGACAAATGATGTACAGTTTAATTATTAGAATATCTTCAGGCAATAATCGAATAATGCTTTGCAATTTAATTATTAGAAGGTATTCAGTAACTATTATGATCATCCACAATAAATTTTAATCCAAAGAAAAGGAAGCCGCCCAAACGGGATAATGGTTAGTGACTAGAAGGCATGGAAGTTTGTGAATGTATAGTGTCTGTGTGGCATGGGAACACTTTAAATGTGCTGCGAGCTAAAAGTCATCTCGAGAGGTTTCCTATAGGGGAAGAGGGGTAGAAGATCTGTCCCCCCGGATACTGTCTTCTCCGAATTGGGGACGGAACTGAGCTAAAGTCGTGCTGCCCTCTGTATGATGCTGAAGGTTCTTGCCAGTGACATCGCATTTGTTTTCTTGCCGCGATGAACATTGTGGGCTTGTGGTAACCATTGCCAGGCAGGTGACTTTGGTAACAGCAACAACAAAGAACAAGAAGGCTTCTGGTTATGCACTTAGATGGCAAAACATCTTTCAAAAGAAAGCAGACGAAGAGAAAACAAGTGTAAGAAGAAAAGTATTCTTTTCGTAACATGTATAGACCACCATTTGTTTTGCTGCGATTAAAATGAAATTCGATTAACATATCCTTCAGGAAATCGTTTCCCGTATAAATGCTACAGAATTCTTCAAAAAAAGAAAGTGTAAATGTTTATATGCGACTAATTATGTTAGTGCAGCTCAAGTTCTATTGTAGATGTATAAAAAACTTCGTAATATGGCTCACTACGATGCGAGATTATAATGTCAAAATGCTCCGGATCCATGATTTAACACATTCTTAGCGTTTACATATAGAATTATGTAAAATATATACTGCTGTATAATTCTAGCTCGACTAGAACACTAAAGAACAGTGCAGTGACTGTTCGCTGAATTCTTGTAAGTAACAATTCTAAAGAAGGGTTAAATTGCACTTTAAATTAAGTTGCGCAACAGGCCTAATGGGCAACGGCTTGCAGTGCACTTGTTCTGTTTTTTGACCTTTGGGCTCGGGGTGCATCAGCATATGCCCTGGGCAAGTGGTCAGCTTGCCGCAAGACCCCCGGTGTTTAGTCCCCAAGCGAACTTGGTACTCACGTTATCGACTCACTTGACGGATGAAAGGTTGAGTCAACCTTCCCCACCCCGGAGATCGAACCCCGGCTCAGGCAAGGCATTGGCTTGCAAGACAGGCAAAGAATATGTGTTGTTAAGAAGGAAAGCTTCGCAGCAGCAGGAGTGGCTTCCTTCGAACGAAAAGAGACACAACTGCTCATGCGTGAAATATCTGTCGCCTAAAAGCGCCAAAGCTCGAAGCTGATGTCGAAGTTTGAACAGGTTCGACGGTCACGTTTATGAAGAGTTCAAAGCTGTGTGACTCCATTTTTCTCCCCTACATATTGACAGATATAAAATCAGACATCAAACTGCGATATGGATGATACAAGTTCAACTAGTAAAACAAAAAAGCACGAAAATTCGAGTTTAAATTATTGCGAAAAGTCAAAGAACGATTCATCTTAATCCGTGTTCCTCAATTTCTCGTACACATGGCGAAGGTGGAAAATCTCGGTCAGGTACATCACAAAGGGGGAAATTCTCGCCAACAGGTTCCGTCGCCAAATCCTTTGGCGAATTTTCCCTCTTCTTTCTAGCGGCGTAGAAGACAAACTGGTTTACATTACGTCTATGGAACCTTTCCTTCTTTACATAGACTTTCTTTGAGACAGGTGACCGCGCAGGTGCACTACCCCGAGGATAATATTAAAGCCGATTCTCTAACGTATGAAAGTTCTAATACAGTACAGAAAGGTCCATAATAGCAGTTGGGAAGAAGCAGTGAACGAAATGTCACATGCGGGAGTACAAAATGATGCAATAAGTCCATAAACAGTCTTAGGAGCCGAACGAGTCCATAGCTGTACCTGCATGACACGTTGAAGTGAAGAACGTGCAAGGTAAGTGCGCGAAAAAGAAATGCCTCAAGTTACAAAACTCAGTTCTTATACAGGTGGACTAATTACATGAATACAATGGAAAGAAACAGTAGCGCATACAGAACACAAGAATGCAGCAGAATATAAATTCACAGATAATACACAATACCATAAAGTAATTAATATTTTTTTCTATTTTTTCAATAATTATTTACAAAATTTAAAGGAGGGGCTTGATCGCTGCGCGAGGTCTTTTCTTATTGACATTACTGATGGGATCATAATAAAGAATGGGAATGGTAGGATTCTGTACATTACTACTATTATCGTAAAATTTTTTAGCCAGTTTGGCAATCGGTACTGCGGTGCAACTGCACGACGGGCTAGCCACTTCGCCACCTGGCGGTAAATTACACTTTATTCCAACCCAAGGCGTATTCGGAAACTAAGTACCGTTCTGAAAAAAAAAAAAAAAAAAAAAAAAAAAAATAGTAAAGCAATTTTTTCGAATCCAATTTTATTTTTAGATGAAAATACATGTCTTAAACTATTTTTCAACATAGTTTCCGCCAATGATCAAACACTTGTCATAGCGGGTGACCAGTTTTTGTATACCATCGTCAAAGAAACTTCCCGCCAGTTTCGATAACCACGACTCCACAGCATTTTTCGTGTCATCGTCAGATCCAAAGCGCTTGCCACCAAGCTCGTGCTTCATGTGCAGGAACAAGTGATAGTCGGACAGCGCCAAGTCCGGGCTGTACGGCGGGTGATCGAACTGCTCCCAATGAAACTGTCCAATTAAAGATTGAGTGACACCAGCAGTATGGGGCCGAGCATTGTCATGGAGCAACACAATTCCTTTACTGAGCATTCCTTTTCGTTTGTTTTGAATGGCACGCATTAGTTTTGTTAAAGTCTCACAATATCGTGCCGCATTAATGGTTTCACCTCTGGGAAGAAATTCAGTAAGCAAAACGCCTTTCCTATCCCAAAAGACAGTGCACATGATATTTTGTGATGATATTGTCAATTTGAACTTTTGTTTTTCGGAGAATGAATGTGTCTCCACTCCATCGATTGTTGTTGTTTTGATTCTGGTGTGAACTGACACACCCAAGTTTCATCACCTGTCACAATTTGGTTTAAAAAGTTTTCTCCCTCATCACTGTACCGCGTGAGAAATGTCAGGGCACTACCAAGTCGCTTTGTTTTGTGAACATCAGTGAGCATTTTTGGAAGACATCGGGAACACAGTTTGCGATAATTCAAGCGGTCAGACACAATTTCGAACAAAACTGTACGTGAAATTTGTGAAAATGCCTCTGAAAGAGTTGTCATTGTGAAGCGTCTGTTCTCATGAATTGCTTCATCAACTTTCTTTACCGAATCATCGGTGACAACAGAAGGCCGACCACTCCGAGCCTCGGCGTGGACATTTGTTCGACCTGCATTAAACATTCCTACTCACTTTCTCACCATTCCATCACTTATCGCGTATTCATCGTAAACTTCTGTCACTTGACGATAAATTTCGGCCGGTTTAACATTCCTCGCGTTCAAAAATTTAATCACGGCACGAATCTCACAGTCAGCGGGAGAACTAATTGTCTTAAACATTTTTAATGTGCACAGCAAACTGAAAACACAACATAGAGCAACCAAAATGGCGACAATTGAAAGTCAGTGAACAAGAAAGACTAGTGCGCATGCGCGGGACGCCTATAACAGCGCTGCGACGGCGCTAGAATGAAATGGTACTTAGTTTCCGAATACGCTACAGATGGCACTTTGTCGGGCGTAAAATAAGCCTCCATTTCGGCTTTAAATGAAAATGGGAATTCTAAACTTATGTTATACTAATTAATTTTAATCAGCCGAACCTGCGTAGCATCAACTAACGGAGTTGGTCCTTATTTCAAAGATCACGGGCATATACTAGCAGGCAAACAGTAGTATGTCCGCGGCCGTAGAACAGTAAACTTAGACAGCAGCAACAACGTGGCCGAAAGATGGAACACGCTCTCTTACTAAAGTGACCTAGACTTCAGCTTAAATACTCATTTCTACATTCTATATATATTAACTGTAATCTTAAAAACTCATTCCGGCAGGAAAACATTAGAAATTTAGAAAATACAGCAAAGGCTTGTTCCAAAATAAAATAACTTTTAAAAAATAAAGAAAAAAAAAAAAAAAAATCTGAAAGGTTTCAGATTTTAAATTACGTCCAAAGGGGCATTTTTTAACATTCTGTGGGTTACCTTTATTTATTAAATATCACGTTCTTCGCACTTAAACTATAAAATTCAGTTCAACAGCAATATCGCAAAATAGTTTTGAAATAAGCATATCTTTAGAATTTCCGATACGCAGTCTCACGCGCTGGAGATAAAAATGATTTTTCGGTACAACGTTGCCACGGCTCCCTTTGAAATCCTTGGGTTTTTTACTTCCTTGTACGAAGTAAAAAGGAAGTATTGTAATCGCGAAAAGTTTCAGGCAGCATATTTCAATGAAAATATCCATTTTGACCGCTATCAAATGCAATTTAACGATGTTTTTGCGTCATATCTGTACGTAAGGACAGAATAAAAGACTCTTTTCCACCAAAAAAATTATAAAACTGCTTTAAAATGAATTCTGAAGAGAATTTTTCGTGGCGTCTGTACGAACGTATGTACGTGTGTGCGTACGTACGAATCTCGCATAACTGAAAAACGTGTAGCCTCAGAACGCTGACATTTTATATATAGGACTGCTATAACATGTAGATGTGCACCTCGTATTTTGGTTGCAATCGGCCGCACTAAACGTATATAAATATATTTATATATATATCCACTCTGTTATCCGGTTCAGTGATCTCAGTTTCCTTACTCTTATATGTTTGTAAATTGTACATTTTTTGCTTTAAAAATGATTGAATTATGTGGTTTTTATCTTCCGGTTAAGGTTTTTATGCCTTTAGTAAATCTCTATGGAATATTTTTAAAATTATCAACAATTTTAAAGTTGTTTAAATGCCGCTAAGCCTAATCCTCTTCTTGATTGCGGCCGTTGTTTGTTTACATTTGAAATAGCAGACTAGTGGATTTGTTGACAATCTAGAGAAACGTAGCTTCGCAACAACAAAGATAACGCCTTCATTTATTATTGCGAATTAAATCATGCTGAATAGTTTCTGGAATTTTTTCGAGGAAATAAGTGTTTAAGATTTACTTCGTAATTTTTAATATAGATATTTTGAGTTTTTATGCATTTTTGAAAGAACTGAATTAAATATTTTGTGAGAACTGAATTAATTGCATGAGAAATACTCAATCGTCTGTGAAAAACTGTTTCTATTTTGTTTTGTTTGATTAATTTCTTTTATACATCGTTCTAACTTTATTATAGTATTTGAATAGAGCATGTGGCAACGATTTATATCATTAAAATTATATCATTTAAATCATTAATCAAATAAATTAAAATTATATCATTTGAATTTATATCTTTTAAAGAATAGAATTATCTATAATTCTATTCTTTAAATGATATAAATTTTGTGCATTATGAGTTATAATATGAACGAAATATAATACTGTTAAGTGAATCTAGCGCCAGAGTGTCGCTATGGTAAACAAATACTAGAGTGGTGGTGTGTATTAGATTACGGCAAAGCACTCGAGGGCTATCTGCGTTAAGGGAGGGATGCCTTCATGGAGGACTTTTTAAGGGGAACTGGCTCGTATACACGTTACACATGGGGAAAACCACGAAAACACCCATGCAGCCAGCCCGTTCGCGGGATTCGAACCTCGGACCGAACTACCAGTGTTCAGCGACGTTACCGCTCGGCGGCTGGTAGGCTAAATACTAGAGTGAATTTTGAAAAATGCATTTATTCTATTGTGGTTTATGCGCTGTCGGCGAAGTAGATTTAATTGAATTCAATATGTTTAAATGAAATGGAAGAAAAAGTGTGTATAATTGATATTCCGTACAAGGAAGTCATGTGGTGTACACATCAGATTTTGTAAATAAGAAAGTCGTCAGAGTTTTATAAAATATGAAATCGATAATAAAGCAAATTCCAAATTTCAAATTTAGGCATGCCTATATTCGCAGTGGGATTACGCCATTCAAAATTCGATGGCTCTATGTACCGTTGCTTTATCACAATGCGAAAAATTATACATACGTTTATGGAGGTTTTTCGTTATTTAATTTCTTCAAATATAACGCAGGACTCTAACATTCGGTGGCAACAGTTTAAAAAGTGAAACGGACATTTATAGTGAACCAACGCAAAATCGCAAAACGAAAACTAAAGTCCTTCAGAGACAAAGCCCCTTTGGTCTAAAAATAAGGCAATCTGTATTTAAGCACATGATTATATATATGTATATGTTTATAAAAATTTGCTAAATGTGTAAATATACAAACGAGATTAAAAATAACATTTAAAATATCTTCTCAGTTAAACTGTTAAAAATAATATGTGCTAATTTCTAACAAGACTTTATTTATCCTCTTGCAAAATTTATTATAAAAATGTTTTATTTATGATCTGGACATAGTTAATTTTTTAATTGCATTATTACAATTTGACTTCCTTCCTTCCATTGATTTGACGCATGAGTTGCACGAAATTCATATTATTTTATGAAAGACCAGAGGGGGAACTAATAATCGAAGAGAATAATCTAACGTCTAAAAATACGCCTAATGCCATCTTGAAAAAATAAATATTTAAGAAATAAAGCAAAAGCAAACGCTAAAAATGTCATTTAAAAATAATATGAGAAAAATCCACGTTCAATTGTGCTGCAACGTACGAATAAATATTAAAAGTTTAAAAAGGGCAATGGGAATAAACTTCGACAAAGTAATTCATAAAATAATTAAAATAATAAAATAATAAAAATCTGCGAACAAACGATAGATCATGTCCTTATGAATACCGTCGTTAAAAATACTGTAACACAAATAAAAAGCTATTTCACGAATTTTTAAACGCATAAAATTGAAAATGTATTATAAAAATAAAAATTACTTATTATTCCAGTTATTTCAACTTCGTGTTTCTTTGGCTCATAAAATATAACTTTATTAAAAATATGTTATTAATCTTTACGCACTTACGAAACAGATTAATTTTTTATGCTACGAAAGATTTTTAAATAAATGCCCAATTCTCCTTTTACCTTTAAAATTATATTTCATAGCATAAGCCATTAGTTCAAACACGTAAACATTAAAAACATAAATGCCTTTCATTGCAGAAACCTTTCGGAAGATTAAAATGATCTGTAAACTAATAATCATTTGAAACAAAGCATTAATCATCAAAATACATTAATGCTAAAGAAAATAAGAAATATCACTTACCTGTATAATGATAATCGGTCGAATCTGTTATCCCTTGCCTAGGTTTTTCTGTAGAGGAAAAAACAAAAACAAAAACGAGATATTAGTAAGAGTCTTCGGAATGAAACATATTTCCGCTGATTCACTACCTATTACATTTTTATTCCGTTGTCTTTTATAAGCTATAAAAGATACTTATTCTTTTAGTTTTAGCAAGAAGAAATTCCACACGAGAATATTAGCCTCATTACGGATAATTCAGATGCCTTAATCAAGTTTCATTACATATTTATCTCCTCTCTTTCTGTGTGTAAAAGAAAACGATTGATTTGCGCTTGGTTCCTGTTATTTAGTAGAATAAAATAAAAAAAAAAGAATGCGTTAATTAAATTACTAGATAAATATATCTGCCATTTTTAAAGGGAAATTCTGCTTTCTAAATGGTATCCAAAAATGTGACAATAAAGATGTATGTCTCTACAATTTTATGTAATGGATTTCGTTTTTTGGTATCAGCGGAATGAAAAGATAAATGTCCGGTAGCGACAAATGAAGTACTTATGAATCGCATTTTTAAATCTGTTTTCCAAAGTGGTGTTTTGCAAGGACTTCTTGGTAATTATGCGTGATCAGTGGAAAATGCAGGAAACTGAATTTTGTTGCTTATCGTTAAAAAGTATTTTATAAAGAAATATTAAAAGGGATCAATAAAAATAAAGTTTTAGGACCATTACATGTGAATTACTTATATATCTCTTTACTAAAACACATAATTGGTGAGATATTGCAAGGGAAAATCCAAGATAAAGAGTTTTTGTCTGTTTCGATTAATTGAAGTAAGTTTCTTAAGAAAGGAAGTTATTAAAATATTTACATTTAAGCCATAGTATAAACACAAATACATCACGCATAAGATAGCGTTAATATATTATCTCGAAAAAAATTAAAAATAAAAGTCTGTATTGCTATGTTTTTATAAAACAGTATAATTTTTCATTATCTCAAATTCCTGGTATACGGATGATAATTATTATTAATTCGTATCCCAAACGTGTTGAATTTCCCGCAACATATTATGTGTTACCTCAAAATTTATTTAAGTTATCATAAAACTCGACGAATGCATTAATTTTAAGCTCAAGTATACAGGAAAAACATTTTTATTTTCTTGTACGAAGTAAAAGAAGTATTGTAATACCGAAAATTTTCAGGTATCATATTTTAACGAAATATTCCATTTTGACCGCTATAAAGGCAATTTAACGATGATTTTGTGTGATATCTGTACGTAAGGACATCTTTACAGAATGTGTGACATCCGTACAGAATAAAGGAATCTTTTCCCCGAAACGGATTGAAAAGAAAAGAATTTAAAATGGATTCAGATAAGATTTTTTTCATGACGTCTGTACGTACGTTTCGTGAAGTCTTTACATGACGTCTATACATACGTACATAAATAAACGAAATTAAATTCCAGGATTAGAAATTAGTACGTATGTATGCATACATGTAGCTCGCATAACTCAAAAACGAGTATCCCCCAGAGCGTTGAAATTTTGCATATAGGACTGCTATAACATGTAGTTGTGCACCTCTCTTTTTGCTTGCTCTCTTTTTGTCGGCTAAGTAGGTTTAATTCAAACTAATAAGTTTAAATAAAATGTAAGAAAAAATGCGTATAATTTAATATTCCATTATTATAAGGAAGTCATGTGGTGTACACACCAGATTTTTTATATTTAACACAGTTAGAGTACAAAGTTACGGAAAGAGAAACACTGTGCTTAAAGAGTTAAATTTAAAGAATTTAGTCTAGACTTAAGGATTTCCATGAATCTGCGAAGTAATTAGGAAAACAGATGTGTCTCTCTAATTAACCTTTCTCCATCGATTGATCAAACGAATGCATTTGAAAAGCACAGATTAAAGATTTTATAATTACTGTGTTCATTAAATTGTTATCACGGCCACAACTTTTGCCTGTAATATACCGCCAACTTTCATACAAAAGCTCTGTCTTACAAATTTAAAGTAGAAGAAAGTTTTATTTGTTTTTCTATGAAATTATGCTAATTTTAAATCTTGTTATGTCAGGAATGATCTAGGTTTTCTCGTTTTCGAGTCTATCGACTGCAGACGAAGATCGTTGCCACTAAATTATAGAAGCAGATCGTTAATGTCTAACTAAAAGTTCTTCGCTCAGGTATATCTTCAGAAGCTGGTAGGAGTCGTTTTCGTTTACTGTATAAGGTATTTCTCCCGCCTTCTTAGCATGCCTTTGTGGTGTAATTGTTAGCATACTCGGGGAGGGGGAGTATATTCGAGAGGTCCGAGGTTCGAGCCCTGGCGAGGGCATTGCTCATTTTTCATGTCATCTGCTTCAGATGTCTCTACAACTGTAGTAAGTTAATTTTATTATATGGTTAAAGAGAATAGAAATAGGGGGAAAAAAATACTCAAAGCTTTCAGATTTTATATTACGCCCAAAGGGGCGTTTTTTTAACGCTTTGTATGTTACCTTTATTTATTAAATATCATGTTCTTCGCACTTAAAACAAAAAATTTAGTTCAACTGCAATATCGAAAAATATTTAAAAGAGCATATCTTTAGAATTTACGATACACAGTGTCGCGTGCTGGAGGAAAAAAAATGCTTTCCCTCCCGTACAATGTCTCCAGTGCTCCCTTTAAGAACGTTGAATTTGTTAATCAAAAATTCATAAATGCTTTACAAAATGGAAAACAGGTAATAAAACAAATTGTAAATTTGGACTTCCGGATGCCATATTCGAATGGAGGATTACGTTATACAAAACTGAATATCTCTAGGTACCTTTGCTTTATCACAATGCGAGAAACATACATACATTTATGCAGATTCTTCATTATTTAATTTCTTTAAATATGATACAGGGCTGTAATATTTGGTGCGAACAATTTGAAAATTGATTCGCCGTTTATAATGAATTAATGCAAAATGCCATAACGAAATTAATAGACCTTCTGTGCTAACAATTTTGAAGTATTTTTTATTTAACTTAACTCTTTACCGTATTTCATTCCGTTGCAACGAGAAACCTGTATTTTTTAACCATGTATTTTATTCTTCACAATAATCCGTTGTCGAAGATTGTTTTACACATAGTATTCTTTGTTTTTATTATTATAAAGTTAACAAAACAATCCAAATTTCAATATTACATTACTGTTTCTTTTAAAATTTCGAGACTTTTAATGTAGCCTTCTCAATTAATGAGATTTAAGGATTTAGAAAAGCGTCGATTTAAAAGTAAAATATTAATTAATAACTCAAGTTTGGGAAAATGAAATGTAACTTCGAAAATTCCAGTTCAGCAGTGTCATTCATATTTGGCACAACCTAATGAAATTTAAAAACGAATAATATTTCCATCTGTAACAGGTAAGATGATAAAATAAAACGCATATATTAGGTATAACGTTTCAGTGTATTTCGCATGGAGGTAGGAAAGGGAGGAGGGGCCATTCCGCGCTAGAAGTGAAGCACTGCTTTGAAGCTTGGGTCACCAGACGGGGTGTTTCTTTGTTTAGATTCAGAAGCTCGCTTGACAAGATTCTGATAGTATTTCCACACACAAACAGTTCCATAGAATCGAAAAAGGGACACTCTCGCATGAAAGAAACATTCATAGTGTGATGGATAATAGCAATTTGTATAGTTTACTGACATTTACGCAAAAATCACATCTTGGTTATTTTTCGATAACTAACAACAGCGATTTTGATTATGAATTTGTTTTTATAAAATTCCAAGCTGTTGCACTACAAAAATATAGATTTTAAGAAAAAATGTTTATGCTTAAAGAATGAAAAATACCTTACGGTACATTTAAAATTGTATACGTCTTTCGATACCCTTGATAGAGTATTCGCTACTTTTATTTTATTTTCCAAACGTCAAAATGTTTTTAAATAAACAAATTTTTTTCACATCCATATATTATTGTAACATGTACCTTTTAAAAATTTTTTAGAGAAGAGCTTTACTGCTGCTCGTTTTAAACCCATCGTTTTAATTTTATATATCTGAAAAATAATCACTTTAGGCTTACACACTTTTTACTTATTTGGGTTAATTAAAAATAAAATTACCATCAAATGCTGCAATCCTCGTAAAAATTAATAAATATACACGACGTCAAATACTATTTAATACCTATTTAATTATTAGGAATTAGAGAAATATTTATTTAAAGTATTTCGCTAATTCCTAACAATTCTCTAATTTTAAATGAACCGAATAGAGCATTAATTATAAATTGACTTACATTTTTCGATTTAAAAGATGCCTCAGAAGCCAAAAAATCATGTCATATTTAAGAAAGTATTTTAGGAAGAAGCTCTATAAATAGAAAAGAAATAATGCATAATTTTAATATTAATAATGCAATAAACTTTGATCTTAATTTTTGTACCTTAACCGAATAAAATCGATTACCTTAATTTTTGTTTCCTTATGTAATTAACGAAAACTTGTGAAAATATTTCATTCAAATTAAACCATTCTGAGAAAACTGTCCTGTGAAAAGTAATAGCATTTAATTCCGTTCAAATGAAATGTTGTTTAAAAATATGTTGTTTTCACATACTTAGGACTCTGAAGTGTTGTAGAAAAAGAAAATATATACATTTATATGTATATTTGCGACGTAATTACAAATTATTTACACCCGAACGCGTCAAATCCCATAGAACTCAATGGTAAATGACCCAATGTTTTGGTCGCCAAGTAGGGATCGCCGGTGCTTCAGAGCAGGGTACGGAGAAACTTGTTTAGGGCGACTCCTTCTTACTTCCTACCTCCATGGCTTTCGCACACTTTTCGGTACACGAGGCTGATATAGAAATAGTATAGGCGATGAAGCAAAAGTCGCCAAGTACAAGATTCTGTAACCCTACGTTTCCTGTTTTAACCAATCGGAGCAAACAGTAGCAGAAACGGTCTGTAGGCTTTGCGAATATGCGAGTGAGAGAGAGAGAAGGAGATTTAGGAAGCGAGTCGCGTGCCACTGCAGGCTTACGAGTTTTTCACTCGGTTGCTGTTAGCTTTTAAGGCCAGAGGTTTAGACCTCTTGATATTTGCAAACGTATTGTAGTTTCAGCAACTCGGCGTACTACATACGTACCCTTTTAAATAAAGGCCAGTCTTAGTGCTAGGCATTTGTATATTAATTCAAAGTTAGCTTTTAGTTAGAGTTAGTAGTTTTATATTTTTACGTTCAGACCACAAGTGGTTGGTCTCTATCCCGAAGTACGGGAGTACTTGTAAAGCAATAGAGAATAAAGGGTTTCGTATACCCTTCCTGCTTGTGTCGTCTATTCCACACAATTGGGAACAGAGCTTTAGTAAGCTCACTGTTCTTATTCAGGATACAGTATATTCCCGAAGAAAGTGAAAAGTCATACATTTCCTGACAACTAAAAAAAGTATTAGCAACTGCCTATACTTGAACAGCGGAACATTGAAACTGAACAAGAAATTATGTCTGTTTATAGAATTAAAGAGAAAGTATTAGCACATAAAGCGAAGCAACTTAAACAGCTTGCATTGAAAGATATGTTTAATGAAGTAAACAAATAAATATTAAGCTTTTTTTTTTGTAAATTTTGATACCCTTTAGATCATAATTGCTCTTATTTCATAAATTACGGTTTCATATTTTTAATTTTATAATTTCTGAATGCCATCTTACCAGATTTAAATTGACGATCTATAATCCGGAATCGTCGAAGTCCCGACGGGTCCGGATTAAAGACATTGTTCTGTACTAATCAACTAAAACTAATACGTCTTTTTCAATTAGTAAAACAATACAAATTATATTTTTTTGCACACAGGTTTGCCTGAAATTTATGGCCCGCCGTGTATATATAACAAAGTGTATTCAACAAATGTTTTAATGGGATACCAATCAAAGTACACTTTTTATCAAAACACTTTGCATTCCAAAGTCCATTTTTTATTTAATGAATTAAAAAAAAATCTACCGATATTTTCATTCTATCATGTCAGTTGCTAATACTTTTTTTAGCCACTGTATGTATAACTTTGTAAAAATAAAAAGGTCTGAAAGAATTAAACATTTACCATAGAGCTTTATCGTTCCTTCGGTTTCTCCTAAAGAATTCTTCGCCACGCATGTGTAGGATCCAAAATCTTGCGGACGCAGATCTCTTATGAGCAGCTTCATCTTCGTTTTGTACGATGCTGGCAAGTCCGATGGTTCGTACATTACTTTGTATTTGTTATTCGTGATTATGACGATATCTCTCGCAATGACCCAATAAGTGACAGATCTTGGATAGGACTCTAAGTTGCACACTAATGTCACGTCCTCTCTTGTGCTAGCGCCAATCAGCTGACTGGGAATCAAAATCATGGGAGCAACTGAAATATGAGAAGAAATTATAGATAATTCTAGCAATGAAGGTAACCGAACTCGTTCGAAGGGTTTCTTCAAAACAGTTGTTATATTTCTGAATTTATGAGTTTTTTTTAATCAGACTGCACTCATGTTTAAATATAATCATTACAAAAGTTATAAAAAATTCATTATTTTGTGAAATTTATGCAAAGAACTGAAAATCTTAGATCGAAATTAACAAAAACATCAACCATCACTGACAAGAAAATAATGATAAGAATAACACATTTCTGACTGTATGTTATAATATTAACCATAAGCATACAGTGAAATAGAATAATTGGAAAATATTGATTCACTAGTAACATATGGCCAAATATGACAGCAACAATCAAAAATTAAAAAACGTACATATATTCATGAAGGGAAAATTATATAATTTAAACTCAGCTAATATTTTGACTCTCAACGATCTGTCGTACACGAAGCTAATATTTTAACTTCTATTCTTCATCCTGCCTAATGATGTAAAATGTCTGTGTGCAAAATTTCAAGTGATTCTATAAGGAGTTAGCATGGTTGCTGGGGCATAAATCATAAAAAAAATATAATAAAAAATCGCATTCACGTTGCCAAACGAAATTGAGAAAATACATAATAAAAATATTTTGCCAGATTTTTCAGATATTTTGAAATGCTTAAAATTATTTCATTAAAAAGTAACATAAAAAATATAACATAAAAAAGTTGAAAACTGTATCTTTAATTTTCTCTTTGAACTTTCAGCTTCTGAAAGTTTGCGGGTGGATAGCAGATAGAGAGAAACTTCAAAGTTACAAGACTTCGAGAACTTTGGAACTCTTTCAGAACTTTGATCTGGACTTTCTACTGTCAGTGATAACGGAGGTAAGAGATATTTCTGAAATTCTTCCATATTCTAGTACGAGAGTCCTATGAAAAGAAGCTGGATGAGTTGGTGAATCGGTTAGTGAAGATAGCAAGATCCTTTTATAACTTTATCTTATAACATTATCTTTTATAATTTTATAACTTTATAACTTATCTTTATCTTTATCTTTATACTTTTATCTTTTAATAACTTTTATCTTTATAACTTTTTATAACTTTTTATAACTTTATCTTTTATAACAAGATCCTTTTATACTCAACTTATGAACTTAATTTGCAAAGCGTATTTTCAAATGCGTTTTATTTAATGTGCTTGTATCTTACATTTTGGAGCTAAGCATATGAAAGTAATTCCTCTTTGAAGTTAGACTTTCAACGATATTTCAACGATTTCCGGTGTGGCAGACGGTATTTTCCGTTTTCTCGTCTGTCAGAAAAAATGACATATCTCCACCCCTAATCAACATATCTAAAACAGAAAAAATTATTTTTGGTAGCTAAGAATGTGGCCTTTAAAATATTAAATGAAAAAAATTGAGATCTTGAGCTAAAATTGGACTTTTGTAAGAGGTCGGTTACTTTAAAAGTTGTTACCATGTGTTGTAGCAATTTAACACTCTACCAAAAGTATCCAGTTGATTATACTGACAGGGACATATCATAATAATCAATGAGATACTACGTATAGTTTGAGTACGGATAGTACGTAGTATCAAATCGATACTACGTACTATCCGTACTACGAATCGAATCGATACTACGTACTGTCTGCCTTAATTATAGTTAATACGTGCAGCAGAGATCTAAAGCAAGAATCGGTCCAAGCACAAAGGCAATTGCCTAGGACACCAATTTTGCAAGGACACTAGCTAAGCTGTTCTTCTGGGCTATCTGTACGAAGTTGTCTTTCGCTTTGAATTATCAATAACTTGAATTAATATAAGGCGTGAGCAGTACTGATCGTCAAAGATGCCGAAAATCACAGATCCCGGTTTGATCTAAAAATTCGAAAGAACGAAGTGGTAACTAAACTTCGAATCGAAGATATTTCAGAATTATATTTGACCTAAATATGGTTTCTTTACGACATAAGTATTATTAATAAATATTGATTTGCGTTTGCTTTGTATTTCGTGTTGTTGTAAATTTATGGATATCTGTTGAGCATGTAAGCATTTAACTGTTTCATCTACTTTCAGCTTCTGAAAGTTTCCGGGTGGATAGCAGATACAGAAACTGCAAAGTTACAAGACTTCGAGAACTTTGGAACTCTTTCAGAACTTTGATCTGGACTGTCAGTGATAACGGAGGTAAGATATATTTCTGAAATTCTTCCATATTCTAGTACGAGAGTCCTATGAAAAGAAGCTGGATGAGTTGGTGAATCGGTTAGTGGAGATAGCAAGATCCTTTTATAACTTTATCTTATAACTTTATCTTTTATAACTTTATCTTATAACTTTATCTTTTATAACTTTTTATTACTTTATCTTTTATAACAAGATCCTTTTATACTCAACTTATGAACTTAATTTGCAAAGCGTATTTTCAAATGCGTTTTATTTAATGTGCTTGTATCTTACATTTTGGAGCTAAGCATATGAAAGTAATTCCTCTTTGAAGTTAGACTTTCAACGATGTTATCATAGATGCTGGGATAACCTTTTAAGCATTTTCATCGATTGTGATAAATATGGTTATTTTAAAACTTTAACAAAATTAAGTTTTTATTATCATTGGATTATTTAATAAATAAAATAAGTATGAAACACTTAACTAATGTAAAAAAAAGCTGGTAATCTCTCGAATAATTTTTGTGAGTATTCAATAGGCTTACTGATAAATCATTAGATTATTATTTAAAGAAACAAATATCAGGCTCTTAGAGTCAAAACGAAATAAAATTAAATTCGAGAAAGTCTGAATACCCTTAAGAGTATTAACAATGGCACTCATAATCTGAAGAACTGCTAAAACTAAAGTCTTTAATTTTAAAATTCAAGTTATTCATTAAGATATAATTCTATTTTTTTCACAAGTTTTGTATTTACCACATCAGTAATACTGTTATTAGTTTCAGTTTCTGATTAATTTCAATTAATAGTCTATCAGTTTCAATTTTAATTACAATACAGTTCTGAACTAATTTGTTCAGACTGTTACGTTATGCTTGAAGTTATACAATTCTGACACCCAGAATTATATTACATTATATGTAATAATTCATTATATGATTGAATCTAAATAATTTATAACTACTTGAAAGGTATTAATGCTATAATATTGTTAATAATTTGAATAAATAAAACAATCTAATTTATATGATTTTAAATCATAACTTTCTTCCGAAGTAAGATTAGAAAAATTACAACTATCTTGCAGAAAGTTTAATGCTTTTTGCCTTATTTGTAAGATCTTCTGTTGAAATACTTTAGGGGTATCACTTCTATACCGACAATGTTAAATTGGCCATTTTCGGTGTACCTTTTCTTAAAATCTGCTGTAGATACAAGCTTGAAATTTTTTCTGTAATTAAAGTATACCTTGTAGGGTTTATATTTATTTTAACTAACATTTATTTTAAGCTATCTTTCCTGTCAAGCCTTTTACTTTCCCCTAGAATTGCCAATGCCAGAGTATGTAAATTGTAGTAGAACGCGCAGTATATTCACATTTTAGCAGAAGTAAGTTGAGTTTAAATAGAAGGGAAACGAGATTGTATGTGTGCTTCTTGAATCACTAGCGTGAAGGTTGCTAGGTAGAAATTTAAGAACCGCGCGTTTCGGCTTGTGTGCCTATCTCGGCAGTTCGTTGAATCTTCAACTGCTTAATCAGTAAGCTTGCTGAATCTCAGCTGTATCTTAGAACGCGGTTAAGTTAGTTACGATTTTAGAGCCTCGTAGGTAGTGATCTCGTTATTTATTCATCCTGTCATTTATTTTTAGTTTCACATTTTTGTTTTGTTAAACCGTAGGGTCGGCGTAGTTTGTGAGCGTCAAGTGAACGCAGCTGTTATTTCTAAAGTGGAATAAAAAAGGGATTTAAACCCTTCTTACGAGTTTGTGTGATTTACAGTTCATAGTAGTCACTACCATAGTTGCTGACAAGTTGGGGCCTCGCAACACTATAACCTATTTGATTATACTGAAATGAGCGTTTGAAGCATTTTGAATTTTAGAGTAAATTACAGGATATTTTGTTAGGCATAGTAAAATTTAGCACTTTTCTCACCCCAAAAAATTAAAAAAATTTTTTTTTTCTAAGTTTATTACAAAAAGCTCATTTCAGTAAATATTAGGGAACCTAATAAATAAGCCATAAAAACTTTAGATACCTGTGAGCGGTGGTTCCTGAGAAAAGGTACATCGAGTATAAAAAAGCACGTTCGGAGAAAAACGCGTTTTTATGTAAAATTCCTCATTGATCAAAGCAGTCGATGACAAATTTAAACTAGATTTTTTTACAGTTCTAATTTTCACAGAGATTAAAGAATGGTATTTTTAGAAAGATAAAAGTGTAGAGAATTAGAAAATGCAAAAATCCGAAATCACAATTTTTTGAAGATTTTGGGGTTCCAACTCCTCTTTATGAAACAACATATATCTGAGGAAGGAAAATTATTTATAAATAAAATGTTTTCTCCCATAAATTGTTAATGAAATAACGTATTTTTACTGTAAACAAAAGGCCCTTTTCCCAAAAACGTAGAGAATTTTGGAATAAAATTACATTTTAAGGGGAAAAATTATTTCTTACAGTTTATTTTCAATCTAATAGGATTTAATAAGTGAGTAAATGCAGTAAGATACTACTTTAGTTACCAAATATAAATATTGTTTATTTAAAACTTAAAATATAAAATTTTGTTGAAGACAACTCTTCTGTTATCGGGAACGGATTCAAAAAGGAATGTTTATATGCATGTATGTAAAATGTAAGCACGATTGTAAATTATTTCATTGTTATTAGACAAAATATCTATTGAGAAACAGCTAATTTCTGGATGTCGTTCTATATATAATTTTAAAAATATACATTGAGATGATGCACGCTTGAAATGTTTAATGGTACGATGCAGTAAGTGCGTTTGTTATGATATGTACGTTTACGAATACGTAACGTGTAGGTTATTAAGATTTATCTTTAAATAAATGTTTGTCTTTTACAACCATTTTATGAGTGATTAATTTAACTACAAAAGGAAGTTAACAAAAGATGTATGTGTTCATGTATGTATGTGCATATGTACGTACGTATGTATGTATGTGTGATCTAATTTATCTGATTTTAATTCGTAACTTCCTTCTGAAGCCAGATTAGAAAGGTTATACTAGCTTGGAGAAAGTTTAATGCTTTTCGCCTGATTTGTGAGGTTCTCTAAATATACGCACATACATACTTACATATACACGTGGTGCATACATACGTACATTTCTGAATCTGATCCCGATAATAAAAGAGTACCTAAAAATATTTACTTAGCTATTATCACTGTGTTTGTAATAATAAAAAATCATTTTCAGAACTATTTACTCAGTGACGTGGGGTAATGGAGACATAAGATTCTATAAATTGCAAATTTATGCAAATGCATTCAATTTCCGTTTATGAAAAATGGAAAAGACAAGGATTACTTAAGTGAATTTTGCAAATCAGTTACATATTTAGATATTTATCTCATTTTGTATTTCTTTTACCTCCCTATTTGTATTTAGCTTGTCCGTCCCTAAATTTCAGTTTAACGGAAAGCAGATGAGACTTCATTAAAACCCCTTCGCGCCGACTGTCACGTCTACGTGCCAGCAACGAACACACTCACTTCCCGGCCAACACGCAGGGGTGCCAGAGCATTTTGCCGTTCACTACCGACTGTCACGTATTTGTGGCAGTGTCCTGGAACGTTTTAAAAACTATAATTTCTGCCACAAGATGGCACTGTATGTCCATATGGTTTCAGATACATGTACATTAGACCTTCTACTCGAAATGAGAGAAGCATGACTCACATACACGTGTTTTTGATTATATAAACAAAAGGGGAAATAATTGTTTCCGAATGGCGTGATTTATGACGTCTCTTTAAATCGCACTTTATTCGCACGTGGTAGTTGTTTATTTAAGTAGAGAAGTTTTATTTGCTCTAAAGCGTTGGGTATTTCGGTTTGCAGTTCAGTTTTTAGAAAATAATTAGATCTTGTTAGACGTGAATTATTTCTGTTTTTACCGTTGCAATGTCGAAGCGTCGAAAATGTTTAACAGAGCATGAAATAGCAGAAATGATGCAAAATATTTCAGATATTGATTCTGAAATTCTGATATTGATTCTGAAAGATTAACTGAAAGACATTTTCCAAAACTTTGTTCAGAAGAGACTGATAAGAAAATGAGACGACGATGCTTCGTTTGTTCACATTCCCGGAAAAATCCTCCAAAACGGCAAATGAGTTATGACGAGTGCAAGGAATGTAACGTAGGACTGTGTGTAGATCCCTGTATTCAAATTTTTTATACGAAAAGAGAATTTTAAGTAATATATTTAGTTTTCAGATGTATAATGTTAAAAGTCATAAAATGGTGAATAATGAAAATAAAGTGTGTAAAATATGCATTTAAACAAGAAATAAAGTAATTAAAGTATATAGTATAAAAATATCTATAAAGCATAAGCCGTTTAAATACTCTATAGAGCATTATTAAACAATGCGTTGATACTTCGGAAATTTCATGGATTTAGGCTTAGTAGCAAAAAAAGCCCCCGGCCCTGGACAGACGCTCGCGTGAGACACTGCCGGCCTCCGCGATAAGCGCCCGTTTGCGCTACCCGGCTCTGGTTTCATTATCATTTTGCATTAAATTGCTTTGTTTCTCTAAGATGCAAAATTAAGTATAATTTAATAATTGCAGTTTCACATATTTCCTGCTATTATAAAGTTTTATTAAACTGCTTTTATTTTCACATATTTCCTGCTATTATAAAGTTTTATTAAACTGCTTTTATTTTCACATATTTCCTGCTATTATAAAGTTTTATTAAACTGCTTTTATTTTCACATATTTCCTGCTATTATAAAATTTATTAAAACTGCTTTATTTCACATATTTCCTGCTATTATAAAGTTTTATTAAACTGCTTTTATTTTCACATATTTCCTGCTATTATAAAGTTTTATTAAACTGCTTTTATTAAGTGGTTCACTTCATAACACATTTATTTAATTTCAGTAAATTTAAAACAGTGCTGTGAACTTAACTCAGAGTATTTTAAGCACTTCTGTAAGATAATCCTGAGAATATGTTTATTCTTATTCGCAAATATGTAGTACGACTTTTAGCGTTTTAGGCGATATTAAGCTACTACTAAATTTTTACAAAAGCTAAACAAATTTTTAAACTACAATATAAACGGTGCTACTTTGGTAGACGGTTGCACAGATTTTTAACGATTTACGTTGGCGCAATTGTTGGCGCGATTTTTACAATCGTCAGCCATCTTGAAAAAACGCTGTTTTTACGCATAGTAAAGTATTCGAAACTTAAAAAAAAAAAAAAAAAAAAAAAAAAAAAAAAAAAAAAAAAAATAAATATCGTTAAAAGAAATGGATTAATTTTTTGTTGAAGATGTCGTTTTTTAAGATGGCAGGCAAGTGTAAATAAATACATTCACTATGAGTATAAAATACTAAACTAAGGCTATTATTACTTTCATATAGCAAAAAAGAGAATAAAAACACCGCTATAAAAAACATTGTGCCAACGTATAATTAGATTAAAATATTACTGAAATTGAATATCGAATTAAAAACAATCCTACCAACATTTAAAAGAATTAGAATATTATTAAATTCAAATACTTTAAAATACGTTATATAAAATATAATTAACATTAAAACATATGTAACAGTAATTATCTCGGCAATTTTTGAAAATAGTGTATTAATATTTTAACAAAAATTGAAGTATACAATTATAAAATCAAAGAAAAATATGTACTTACATTTTTTTGAGTAATTTAACCTCTTGTTTATTGATAAGTACCACACAAAAAAAAAAAAAAAAAAAAAAAAAAAAAAAAACGAAATTATAATTGAATCGTCTCTTTTAACCATCTTCATCTGTTATCCACATATCTCGCACTTCATTGGAGAGAAGCAATTAGCGAGGTTTCCTCCAAAAATTTAAAATAATTTTCCTCTGACGCTATTCAACAATTTATAAATAAATCTTTGATTAGGAAAGACAGGTTGGGCCAAAATAAGGTCTCAAAGGGCAATTTTTTTATTCCCATACCAATAATTCTTGGTAATTACCAATAACAACATTCATCTTCGAAACGAAGATATCCATTCCATTTGAAATCTGACGAATTCGAAGAGATGAATAATAAAATTTTAAAATGGCGCGGTAATACACAAATATTCAGTAACCAAATAGGGAGCTGATTACATCACGCATAGAATTAAAATTATTTAAATAATCATTCATAATAAAATCATTTTTAAAACAAATGCAAAATTAAATTGTATTTTAATGTTTAACAGCCATAAATAATGTTTAAAACATTACATTAAATTTATAGATATTAAAACCAATTACATTTAAAATAATGTGACGTCATTCATTACATCATTCATTACATTTATTTATTTCAAATAAAAATGCAAAATTAAATTCATTTTTATTATTTTGAAGTAATAAATAATATTTAAAACACGGAATTTATGCATAATAAAACGCATTATTTTTTGATTAAAATGACAACAAATAAAGTATTGGTTACCCTAAACAACATGTCTAGCAATATGTTTACCATAAGTCGTATCCCTCGCCAAAAAAAAATCGCCAAAACCCGTGCAACCGTCTACCAAAGTAGCACTTTTTATGCCCTTCTGTAAAATAATCCTGAGAATATGTTTATTCTTATTCGCAAATATGTAGTAAGACTTTTAGCCTTTTAGGCGATATAAAGATACTACTAAATTTTCACAAAAGCTAAACAAATTTTCAAACTGCAATATAAACAGTAAATAACAGGGTTTTACGGTTAATCGAAGTAAAATGATGTAAAAAAAAATAATATTTGTTTACAAAGTACGTTCAGCATGATCCTCTTGCTGACTGAAGGTAGAACACCATTGGAGGCGATGCATAAATAGGCTCCCATGCTGAGACGACTAGTTCTCTTCAGCTTCAGAAACTCGCCTTCAATACTAGGCACTGAAATAAAATGTAAAAAAAAGAGAAACAATATGTTAATAAGCTCACAAATTCAGTAGACTAAAGTATGTGCGTGAAATTGACACTTTCATCCTTAAATAAAACTTTGTCTATATATCACATGAATTTTAAAGTTTTACGATATTGCAAGTTATACATGAGTCACAATACAATTGAGTGCTAAAATAGAAATAAAAATCGTGACCAGTTTGGGAAAAGCCGAAAATAATATTATTTGAGCTGATAAATGAAAGTTTCATATTATTTCTGGAATGAAAATGATTGCTCTGACAGATTATATTTAAGTGAGGTCTATGTTGAAAGACAATATTAATACCTTCATCCATACCATGTAAGACTATTTCTTGAATACCAGTGAATATTTAGATAGTACGTATGTACGTACATAAGTACACCTTCCACAAAAAAGAGGGGGAGCAATGCTCAAACTTTTGAAATGAAGCATCGCAAATACCATCGTCTTAAATTATTCTTCACAATAAGTTAGTATCTTCAACATATCATTTAATAAAACATACTTACATTGTGAGGAGACATACTATATTATGAAGACGCATAAATTTCACATTATTTCAATGCACACATAGGTGCATTTACTGATAAGTGACTTTCTACTTTTGTCTTTATATGTCGATATAAAATTAGGCTCTCTTTTTACTTCCTTGTACGAAGTAAAAAGGAGGTATTGTAATCGGGAAAAGTTTCAGGCAGCATATTTCAACGAAAATATCCATTTTGACCGCTATCGAATGCAATTTAACGATGTTTTTGCGTCATATCTGTACGTAAGGACAGAATAAAAGACTCATTTTCTCCAAAAAAATTATAAAACTGCTTTAAAATTAATTCTGAAGAGAATTTTTCGTGGCGTCTGTACGAACGTATGTGCGTACGATCTCGCGTAACTAAAAAACGAGTAGCCTCAGATCGTTGAAATTTTGTATATAGGACTGCTATAACATGTAGATGTGCACCTCGTATTTTGGTTGCAATCGGCCGCACCAAACATATATAAATATATTTATATATATATATATCCACTCTGTTAGCCGGCTCAGTGATCTCAGTTTCTTTACTCTTATATGTTTGTAAATTGTACATTTTTTTGCTTTAAAAATGATTGAATTATGTTGTTCTTATCTTCCGGTTAAGGTTTCTATGCCTTTAGTAAATCTGTATGCAATATTTTTAGAATTATCAACAATTTTAAAGTTGTTTAAGTGCCGCTAAGCCTTTTTTATGATGGCGGCCATTGATTGTTTACATTTGAAACAGCAGACTAGTGGATTTGTTGCCAATCTAGAGAAACTTAGCTTCGCAACAACAAAGATAACACATTCATTTATTATTGCCAATTAAATCATGCTTAACCGTTTCTGGAATTTTTTCGAGGAAATAAGTGTTTAAGATTTACTTCGTAATTTTTAATACAGATATTTTGACTTTTTATGTATTTTTGCCTTGTCGCGAAGTGGGAACTGAATTAATTGCATGAGAAGTACTCAATCGTCTGTGAAAAACTTTCTTTTTTTGTTTTGTTGGCTTAATTTCTTTTATACATCGTTTTAGCTTTATTATACTATTTGAATAGAACCTGTGGCAACGATTAGATAATTCTTTAAATCATATAAATTTTGTGCATTCTGTGTTATAATATATAAACTCCTACTCTCGTAAGTATTAAGATGTGCCTGCTCATGCAGCTGAATTTTCTTCTTCCACGGGTGTTGGTACTTCTCTTAGTACCATTCATTTGCAAATATCTTTGCCTAGTGCACTTTAATGCGATCTACTGGCTAAAACCCTTTAGTAGTTAATGATCAGAAAAAAGTAATTCATAAGTCATAAAGTTATAATATGATGGAAATATAATACTGTTAAGTGAATCTAGCGGCAGAGTGTCACTATGGTAAACAAATAGAGTGAAATTTAAAGAATGCATTTATTCTATTGTGGTTTATGCGCTATCGGCGAAGTAGATTTAATTCAATCCAATAAGTTTAAAAGAAATGCAAGAAACAAATGTGTATAAGTTAATATTCCGTACAAGGAAGTCATGTGGTGTACACATCAGATTTTTTATTTATACTCTCAGACACGTTTCCAGAGCATTTGAGCTAACGCCCCTTTGGGTTAAAAATATTTAAAACTAACAAATCTTCAGAATTTCCGTTAGAGAGTCTCTCACGCTGGAGATAAAAATGTTTTATTCCGTACAGTGTTGCCAATAACTTTTAAATCGTTGAGTTTGTTATTTAAAACATTCTTTAAAGTCTTAAAAATACTAAATAGATAATTAAACATACTCAAAATTTGAAAATCGCTCCATCGTGTGTGCATGTTCGCGTGGAGGGCTACGTTATTCGAAACTAAATAGCTCTAGCCATCTTTTTTTTTTTCAAAATGCGAGAAACATACACACATTCATGCAGATTCTTCATGATTTAATTTCTTTAAATTTAATACAGGGAGATAATATTATGGTCGCAACGATTTGAAAAGTGACTCTGTACAGTCATTAGGATTTCTTGGAAGCAGGAAATGTGAAGAATGAGCCATTCCTTCGCCGGGACTCGAACCACGGATCTCTTGAATTCGCGTCGAGCTTGCTGACCACTACACCACGAAGGCATGCTAAGAAAGTGGGAGAAATACGTTATAACTGACCACGCTTAGTGATTCGACGCGAAATACCGTTTCGACACTAAGAGCTCTTCTGACCTAATACTCTTTTGTATTAAAAATGACCTTACAAAGGAACAAAATTGCAGGAATAGGCAGACACTTTTCTTCTCTTGTCAAATGGTTTCTTAGAATATTTTTTAACAATATAAGTATAATCTATTATAAGTGCAGTTTAGATGTAGAACATTTTGAAGGACGGATGCAAAAGTCAGCCATCCTTCTTCTTCTCCTACCAAACTCTCATAGGAATTTCTGCCTCCAGTGGCCCCATGCGCTTAGTGGCGTAACAGCACTAATGAGCCAAGGCCTGCAGTGCCTGCTTTCTTGACTGTGGGACCCGGGGTGCGTAAGCATATACCCTGAACAAGTGGTCAACTTGTCGCAGGACCCCCAGTGTTTAGTCCCCAAGCGAAATTGGTACTCATTTTATCATCCCAACTAATGGAAATCAAGGGATGAAACACTGAGTCGACCTTGCTCAGCCCGGGAATCGAATCCTGGACCTGTGGTGCTGCTGGGCGATGCGCTACCCACTGCGCCACCGGGCCTCCCATGCGCACAGATACCGTACACATAAATATTCATGTTTGCTTGGGCCCAACGATATGGCAGTCAGCAACACCAGCCACTATACCAATCAAGAAGAGAACTGAATAAAACAGAGTAATTATTGATTTGATACTTATGAATTTCACATTAGTTATCAGTTACGATATTAATTTAAGCTTCAGAAAGAATACGACCAGAAAAAAGGAAAGTGACAAGAGAAGACGGAGACTTCTTTCAACCAGGTTATTTATGATTTATACATAACTTAAAAAATAAGAGATAAAGTATTTCATTTTTATCCAATACAGTAATTGCTTTATTAATGTTTACTAAAAATGAAAATTAAGCGATGTGAAGTAGCTGCAAAAATGTATTTTGAATAGAAAATAATTTCAGTTCTGATTCAAAATTTGTAATTATATTTAACACTACATTTTGATAATTGATTTTATGAATTTTTTAATTTTTAATTTTATATTTTATAGAATTTGAGGTTATATTACCTAAAGGTTAGGCGCCATTGTTGACAGAGTTTTATATTGGAAACCTGCTCAAGTCATATAATAGCTTATCTATGTTTCATGCGAAAAACATTAAAGCTTTAATGAATATTGAATTCCCATTAACTTTGTTCCCTTAAATTAAACGAGTAATTAATTATCTCCGTTGTTCTTTTTTTATATCTCACGCTTTTGAGATAAAATTAATAAACACATTGTTAACTAAAGTTTGGAAAACGTGTAAAATAATGCCTAAGATATTATATTTTCAAAATCAGACATTATTTATAAAGAAAATACTTTATAATTCTTAAAATTACTTTGAGCATTGTTACTGTATTCAGCAAATTTGTGGCTTGAATTATGTCATAAAATGAGGGAACTTTATATTTAATTTAATACACGGGTATTGATTTACTATTATTTGAACAAATGAAGTTGATTTTTCAGAAAATTGTTTCTTTAAAAATTTAATTAAATTACAAATTTTAAAAATTAATGTCTATAAATTCCTACTAAATTTAGAAGAAGATATTTTCAAACATTAACTCATTTTATTTAGTAGATATTTTACTTTGACTCATTTTAATAAAATATGAATATCTATAAAATAAATTTCTAAGTCCAATCCATTATAAGCATTTTATGTATGATGATAACAATATTAAAAAATCTGATTACACCGCATGACTTCCTTGTATGGAATATTAAATTATACGCATTTTTTCTTGCATTTTATTTAAACTTATTAGATTGAATTAAACCTACTTCGCCGACAGAGCATAAACCACAATAGAATAAATGCCATTCTTTAAAATTCACTTTGTTTACCATAGCAACACTCTGGCGCTAGGTTTACTTAACAGTATTATATTTCATTCATATCATAACTCAGAATGCACAAAATGTATATCATTTAAAGAATTATCTAATCGTTGCCACATGTTCTATTCAAATACTATAATAAAGCTAGAACTATGTATAAAAGAAATTAAGCAAACAAAACAAAAAAGAAACAGTTTTTCACAGACGATTGAGTATTTCTCATTTAATTAATTCAGTTCTCACTTCGCTAGAAGGCAAAAATACATAAAAACTCAAAATATCTATATTAAAAATTACGGAAGTAAATGTCAAAAGCTTATTTCCTCGAAAAAATTTCAGAAAGGATTAAGCATGATTTAATTGGCAATAATAAATGAATGCGTTATCTTTATTGTTGCGAAGCTAAGTTTCTCTAGATTG